CAGAGTGGTACATCTGTTACAATAGAGGAGCCTACACTGCCTTATCATTACTCAAAGCCCCTACAGGTTACCTTCGGGTTCACTCTTGGTGTTACACATTCTACTGGTTTGGAAAAAATGTATTATGACATGAATTCACCATTACAGTGTCATACAGAGTAGTTTTACTGCCCTAAAAACCCTCTGTGCTCTGTCCATTCATCCCTTTCTCCCTCTAACCCCCTCAACTTTCATATTACCTGTTAACTGTCGCCCTCTACATTTATTTACACACTTAGTAATAAATCCCATTACTACCTCTTCCTTTCTCTGGTCTCTAAAGATCAGAGGTACTACCATCTTATCAAAGGCCAACCCACAATCCACTCATGCCTAAGGTTCCCCCACCTCTACTGCCAGGATCTTACTCTATTAGCCAAATCTCTTATTTATGTGTAACTTTTACTTTGTTCTAGACCCTTTCTCTTTGCATCTACAGTAAAGCAAGGGCTGACAAACCACAAATCTAGCCCAATGCCAGTTTTTGTAAATAAAGTTCATTTCCAAATTGTCTGTGGTTGCTTTTACACTGCTGTATGAACCTTTAATAAAAAGTTTACCAACCCCTGCACTAAAATCTCTCTTACCATGAAAGCACAAACAACCTCCAACAAAACCCTTCCTGGTACTAGAGTTTCACTGTCATCCACTACCTCCCCTCCATTCCTATCCTTACTTACTTTTTAAAAAAACACATTAAAAAAACATACTGTTTTCTAACCCTCATTTACTCAACTTACTGCAATATGGTTACTATTCTAAGATTTCTAATGAAACTGGTCTTTTATTTTTAATGTTTATTTTTGACAGAGAGAGACACACACAGAGTGTGAGCTGGGGAGGGGGAGAGAGACACAGAATCTGAAGCAGGCTCCAGTCTCTGAGCTGTCAGCATAGAGACTGGCGCGGGGCTTGAACCCACGAACTCTGTGATCGTGACCTGAGCTGAAGTTGGATGCTCAACCAACTGAGGCCACCCAGGCGCTCCTCTAATGAAACTGCTCTTAATTACCAGACAGCAAATGCTTCAGCCTCTTGTGACCCAGAACTCTCTTCTCTCAGTCTCTTTCATGAGCTTTTGTTTCTTCTTAAAAGTTGGAGGAGTTTCCCTTTCCCAGATTCCTATTCATCCCACTGCGCTTTTCAGGTCTACAGACTTTTCCTAGATATTTCATGCACCCTCAAAATGTTTAACAACCATATGCTTATAACTTCCAAACACAGACCTTCTCCCTAAACTTTAACCTGGTATAAAACCAACTTCTCTTAGGCATTTCTACAAAACACTTCGTATTTAACATAGTCCAAATGGAACCAACCATCTTTTCCCCCAGTCAACCAGCTTTTGCTCCCGTATCTTCTCTGTTGGGAACACTACTTCCACCTTCCTTCCCAGTTACCCAACCTAAAATCCTGGAAGTCTTTCGATGACTCTTTCTCCATTCAATTCTAATCACATGTCCTGTGGATTTTATTTCAATCAATCAGTCTATTTCTTTATTAAGTAGGCTCCATGCTCAGCGTGGAGCCCAATGTAGGGCTTGCACTCACAACCCTGAGATCATGACTTGAGCTGAGATCAAGAGTTAGATGCTTTCACTGACTGAACCACCCAGGCACCCCTATTTCAATTTATTATTTTAAGTCTGCCCTGTATTCTGTATGCCATTCTTTTTTTAAAGATTTTATTTTTTTAAGTAATCTCTACACCCAACATGGGGTCTGAACCTACAACCCCGAGATCAAGAGCCGCAAGCTCCAATGACTGAGCCAATGGGACCCCTCTGTGTACCATTCTTACCATTACTGTCCCGGACTAACTAACCAACCTCTAACCTGGCCTTCCTACCTTTATTCACATATGCCTCTACTCCTTTTTTTCTACACGGGCTGCCAGTAGAATCCTTCCATCTTAAAATCCCTCCATTATTTATAGCATAAAACCCAGGTTTTTAAATGACATTCAAGAACTTTTAGCATCTGGTCCATGCCTCTCTTCTCCAGTTTAATTTCTGACCACTCTTTGTTTCACATTCTGCTTTCACCTCTAGGATGCTTTTGCTAAAACTTCCAAGTGCTTCTGTAATACCTGGCACAAACTGTAACATTACGTTCACCCGCTGATATGCCTGTCTTCTTCCTCCCCTCCCTAACTAGACTGTAGGCTCTTTGAAGGCAGTAACTGTGTTTTATCTTGTTCCTCCACTAGCACAATACCTGACTCGTGGCAGATGTTCAATTAGTAATTTGTTGAATGACCCTATTACCTTCAGAGCCTCTGGACTTTCCAACCTTATTCCTACAACCAACCAGTTGCAAAGTTTGATCAGTAGCTTTAGGACTTGTAAATTACTTCCATTTATTTTTCAAAGCTCTCAGTTTAGTTAATTATCTCCTACCCAATTCATATAATTGCCTCTTTAACACTTACCCCAAAATAGTACAAAATAGCTTCCCAAGCTTCTTCTCTTTCTCCTGTATCCAGCCTAACTTTCCTAACCCTAGTGATGGTTAGGCTATCCCTAGTTTAAAAGCTGTCAGTAGGTTCTAATCACTTATAGAATTTCATAAAAATGTGGCAAGGTATGTATCATTCATTTATTTACTGAGTGCCAAGCATGTTGCTAGAGCTACAAAAATAAAAACTTCATGGTTCCTTTCTTTAAGGAATATGGCCTACAAGGGGAAGATCCTGTCATTAATGGATTCCACAAACGTGTAATGTTTACCTCTCCACTAAACTGTTCACCTATCTTCCCACCTTGACACCTTTTTCGTGGTGTTCTCGTCATGAGCCTTCCTTACTCTTTCATTGGCAACCATTCTGTTCTTCTCTAAACACACTTAGTTGCTGTTATAATATATCAACTATTATAGTAATTCTGATAAGAGAAAAGAACTGTGTTTTCTTATCAGTGCCTAATAGTGCTTTCCACATATTAGAATCCTCAATAATTTGTGGAAAGAAAAAACAGTGATATAGAGAAGGCATGCAGGCACAATGATTAAAGCAAGTATGATCAGAATGGCTCAGAAGCAATTCTACCACTGGATGTGTTTATGATACAGAATGTACCCTCCAGTAATTCTAACATAGTTGGGTGCACAGAGAAATAGACATACCCGCCAATGCCTTTACTCACTTTTTGATCATCAGGAATTGGTTCCTGGGACTTTAGAAGTGAAGCTCTTTCTTCATCTACCCAATTTCCCCACTCTTCTGCTGGAGCATTCCAATCAGAGCTGGGATCAGCAGAAGACAGACCATCTAAAATTTAACAGTGCGAATTAGGTATCTATCATTTCTGCCAAAAACTAAAATGCAAAAACTAAAGTTCCTTATGTTGAACTAAGTTGTAACTATAAACTATTGTTCTTCCTCTCAAGCATATTTTAGAGCTAGAAGAGAACCCAGTAACATGATGGTAAAAACCTTTGTCAAACTTCTGCTAGGCACATCATATGGCTAATTAAATGGAATTTCTAAAAAATCCCAGAAAACTTAAGAATTACCCGTTTAATTCCACTCCCCCTAATTCCTTTGTTACCTAACTCCTAATTTTGCTCTCTTTTCACTGTTTAGGTCTAACTTGGTTTGGGACTTGGTCATTACAGTTTTGTAATTGATTTATTTTCTAGGGTATGGAAGTAACCAATCTTTAACAGCAGTACCAAAATTATACTCCCACCTGTCCTTTTACATCATGTCTCCTGCCCTTTAGCAGCTTTTCAAGACTACATTCCTCTTGAAATTCACCAAGTCATGACAGAATATTTAATGTCTTCTTTCCTCTTTTTTTTTAAAAAAAATAATTACTTTATGATTTTTAATGGCTACAACCTCTTCCTCCTTTAATACTTAATAACTTGTACCTTCTTACATTTTCCAGATTATTCAATGCTACTTTTATTATTTCAAAACAGGCCAAGTCACTTTCAGGGTTTCTATCGTCTATTCTTAAGAATAAATTTTTATTCTAGACTCCTAGATTCCTTTCTTTCACTCCAGAGAATTTTACTTCCTTGCTTATTCTAAAAAGGGAAAAACAATCTTTGGCTTTATCCTGGTTAAGTAGCTCTCAAAGTCAATTCTTGCCCCTCTCCCTGGATTTCATAAATGCTTCCACATCTACTTCTGCAATGACTACTTATAGCCAGGTTTCATTCCCAGCGGTTTAAGATGATAGATATTAAGCTTTATTTCTAAATGGTTAACTAGTCATTCTATAATTGCTCCAATGAAAAATCCAATCTTTTCCCATTAATGTCAAATGCTACTTTTATTAACTAGTAAGTTTTTTCACATACACTTCAGTCTGCTTCTAGAATTTCTACCCTATTTCACTGATATATTCCTGGAATGGTGCCATATATGATTCTGTAATACCTGTTAGTAACTAGAATGACAAATCTGCCTGCATTCTTATTTTCTCTGCTATTCTTATTTTTTCATGTGAACTCCATTATTTTTGTTTAAAGGGGAGGTATTATGATACCACATGAAGGCTTTAAAACCAATGTTTTAGAAGAATATAATAATCTGGGAAAATGCTCAAAGTAAAAAAAAAAAAAAAAAAAAAAGACAAAACTGTAAAACAGGATACCAAATTTATATGAAGAAGAGATTAAAGAAAATAATACATTAACAACAGATATATCTTGTCACTGGAATTACAGGAATTTCACCTTATTAAGCACTTACTATGTACTAGAACTTGAGCTGGGCAGGTACTAGAGATAGAAAAATGAGAACAATATACTTCCTCCCCACATGGAGTTCCTGGTCTTATCTATTTAGAGGTGAAGATAGGTAAGTACAAGAGACAATGAAGTACAGAAAGAAAGATTCTATCATGGGGGTGTGGAGAGGGAGAAGAGGGCTCAAACAGTAGAGGATGGAGACTGAAAACATAAGAATTTATAGCCTAGCGGAAGAAAAACACGGAACAATTGATTACAAGTATGAAGTATATTATAATAAAGGAAGATCCTTCTTAAATTTACTACCAGGAGCAGGTATCCAGAGGCAGTATTACATAGTAGTAACATAGGGGTTAAGAGCATGGACCTTAGAGTCAAACAGATTCACATCTGAATATTGGTCTGCCCCTACCACTTAACAACTATGTGATTTGGGTCAGATTTCATAATCTTAATGGGCTATATACTAACTTCACAGGAGTGCTGAGAAGATTATAGTAGATACATTTAAAGTAGTACACAGCAATGCAGTAAATGCTCAATAAATGGTAGGTGTAGTGTTTATGTATCACTGATGACATAACAATAGAAAGTCAGTTTCTAAGCTATCGGGCATAGACAACTAAAAATGTATTTCTTACAATCCTGATAAATCTCTCAATAAGATACACTGGTATGTCTTAATGTGGAAATCATTTTTATAAATATAGATGTCGAACCAACTGCTCATCTTACATTAAGCATTCATTAGCAACACCGTTAAGAGATTTGAATGTCACAGATTTTGCTTAAACCTCACAAATAAGAAATGCAGATCTGGAAAATTTCTCTTCATAAGCTAGTCTCTAAGGCCTCTTGTCAGAAAGGAAACTTTATTTTCTTTTAAAAGAAAAAAAGTCTAGACACGTGAGTGGGCAACATAGTAACATATAAACAAACTATTTTCTTAATAAATACGGTGGTGGGAGGAGATAAGGGGTAAAAATCTCGTAAAGTATTTAGTAACATTATTTTTTTAAAGGCTTATATAACCAGAAAGTCTGGGGAATGAATGTAGCCTATGATTTAACTTCTTAAAGAACATTAACAGCAGCACAAATCTCTACTGGCTTTATAAAGCTTTCTGTTGATTGTTCCAAGTTTACTGATTTTAGGTTAGGTTTTTTTTTTTTTTTTT